TAATCATTGTTATCATACATACATAATTGCAGTATTGTTTGTCTTTTACCTTATCAAATCAATGATTTCATTTTTTTATAGTATTGACAAATTGAAGTGATGTATTATCAATATATCATATAATATATATAGTATATAAATAATTTATTAATATTAAAAATCTTAGAATTTAATACATGTGTCTGAATAATTTAAATATAATAAAAATTATACTGCGAGCATGCAATCCGAGTGTCCTAATTAATAGGTTATTCAATGCTCAACACACAGCCTACCCGCTGACTTACGGTCAAGTTTCCTTTATTTATATGTATGACACACAGCCTACCCGCTGGCTTACAGTCAAAGATTAATAAAAAGTGACTTTTATCTTCCTGGATAAAAGGGTCCCTAGGTTCTATGTAAATAATTATATCTCAAAGGCGTCCCCTTGATATGTATGACACACAGCCTACCCGCTGGCTTACAGTCAAAGATTAATAAAAAGTGACTTTTATCTTCCTGGATAAAAGGGTCCCTAGGTTCTATGTAAATAATTATATCTCAAAGGCGTCCCCTTGAGATGTGCCTCAATAATTAAAATGTTGGTTACTTGTTTTACAACTGATGGCTCCCTAAAAACGTAAACACATTTTTATTATTTTTTCTTCTCTTTTAGTGAGGAGCAATTAACAAATTTTTGGTTAATCTAACGAATTTATTATTATTACCAAAAGAGGTCAACAACAGTCGATTTTAATGTATAAAAAATTAAATTAAATAAATATTAAGTAAATAAATCTTTTTTAATTATTATTATTATTTTAGGTAAAATTAGTTCTAAATAAAATACACCCTCCCTCAAAATTCATATAAAGTTTAAATTTCTAGACATAGCTTTTAAATTAATTTAACTAATACGGCCATTACTCTCCATATAAGTGATCAATTCTTCTAATGGGACTAACTCTTTTTTATCTGGCAATAAATTGAATTCTTTAGCAAAAGACATAAAATGTGCAAACAAAGAATTGAAATGTTTTTCTTCTCGAAGATGTAAAATTTGTTCATAATGATGATAATAAATATGTGCAAATACTCTAAAACATTGTTTGAATATTGATCTAACTGTTTGTTGAAAATCTTTGGGAAATTCTCGACCTTTGATTTTATAGGTTTTTAAAGAAGAATCATTAGCATTAAAAATATTATAATTGTCATTATTATCATTATTATTGTAAAATATTAAACGAATCTATGAAAATATATGGACATCTATTTTTGCTTACCAACTTTTGTTGGGAAAACATTTTCATCGTTGACAAGATTCTGAACCAACGTCATAACATAATCAATGTATGTTGGTGCTGGTAATTTTGTGGTTTTTCTTTGATTTTGATCTGTCCAAGTGTAAGCCTCAACTCTAAAATGAAAATGTCAAAGATGATGAGACAAAGAATATATTTTTTCCCTCCCATAAAAAATTTAATTTTCTTCATAATTACCCAGGTCCTGCGTTCATTGTGGGACAATTCGTGGCTGTGCAAAAATCAGTCACAGTTCCATAGAACATATTAAGATAAGTAAAAAATTCGAAAACTATAAAATAATTTATTATATGAATGAATTCTTTGATTAATATATATTATCTATCACCATCATCATCATTATTTACATTTATAATTTATAATTTATAAATATTCATACCATTCACAGCCAACCATTCATCCTCTTCAACGTATTTTGGTAAAACCACTATTTTCTTAAAACTTCCTTCGACCAATGATGCATCAATGAATGGTGGTGAAAGAAATAAAGGCCTTGAAATTGGATTATTTCTAAGACGAGTTGTACTTTTCTTATTTTTGCTACGAAAGGTGCATTTATTTATTAATATGATAGTCGGATTATTATTATCATTAAAATAAATATTTATATTTTACTTACCCAAGCCAAAAACTCATATTTTTTTTTGTTTAAATTGTTAATTGTTATTTTCAAAAAAGAATTTATAATGTTAAAGAAAAGAACTAATACTAAGTACGAGTCCTATGTGGACGGCCTAAAATAAGATGTCTCAGATGTAAGCCGCAACTTCACGAACGACTCTCGTTATTTTTCTGTAATATACTTCAAAATAGATTACGAGCTACATTTTCTATTAATTGTGGGTCTGCAAGGTGTACAACTAAAAATCTTTGAACCACCCGGATTCGACTTGATGACCAGGTCAACATTTGTCTTGCAGCTTAGAGTGGATGTTTCTAAACCGCATTTTTTTAACCATGTCTTGTGTTTTAAACTCGAGGAGCAAAACTGCATGATGGTTTATCCTGCTAATCTTCGATGATCATTCATCCACAAGATTACGAATTTTATTGTGGATCCGGAGCATGCACCAACAGTGCTTATACCTCATACGCTTATTTGCTCGCTGTGAATATAATCCCTTTCACCTTTGATTCTATCATAATGCAAGCACAAGCGATGAATTCTACTAATATTCTCTTTCTAAGGCTCCAAACGAATCGAATTTTAAAGTGATTCGATTCGTGACTATTAATGGTTAAAGAAATTCTACATAATAATAAGTTACAGTTACACAATTCATTAATTGGTGATCCTTTGGGGGTGTCAAATTATAATTAATATTAAGTAATGTAACATAATGTTGATCAATAAATTTGCTTTTGCTACTAGTCCACAAAAAAAGTAAGGTTTTAGTTCCATATTTAGGTAAATCGTAGTACATAGTATGGTATCTATAGTTTATCGTTATAGAGAGATTTCTAATTAAAAAAAAAAGTTTTCTATTTTCCTATTTGCAAAATTCCCTTTTAAGGATAATGTTTTGATAATGGTCAGTGTAACATTAAAATATTTATTTATTTAACAAATAAAAGATTGAATGCTCGTCGTGTCACTGTTGCTTGCCAAAACTCGTAAATTCTTTTGCAGATTTCTGAAATCGTTTCCATATCTGCAGTTTTTCTTATTCTGGCATATTAGAGTCGTACGGCAAAGGTTTAATTTCTTATAAACTTGCAGAGAAAAGAGAAGAGGAGAGGGGAGGGAGGAAGGAGCGTAATTCATTTATATAGGTGATTTATAAGTTTGTGATCTGTGAAAACCTGTTTACTTATTCCATAGTCACAAATTTTAGAAATTGAATAAATAATTAACACGTATTAGAATGTCAGAAATTTCACATGTATCTAATTATTGTTATTATTTTTTCGTGTCATCAAAAACACCAAGAATCATCGGATAAAAAAAATCAAAATTTCAATTTTTTTAATAGTTTTAATTGGCCGAAATTACTTAAAAACTAACTTTCGAACTAATTGTTATGAAAATTGACAATAAAACATAATTTTGGACCTTATGAGCATTTTTGTTTATGGCAAGAAAGCATGTTTTTGCATTGATTTTAATGAAAAGTTCAACAATTTTAAGTTGCCAACCAACAAATGCACCTCAATTTGAGATCTACATTTATCCATTGATTCTTGATTCAGATGCATGAGATTATGGCTGTGAACCATTATCCAATCAATCAACATGCTTGTTACAAAATCATTGGTGAACATTCAATGTGTTCTGAATTGTTAAGACATGTGCCTATGCAACTACGTGTTTATTTTTACACCATACATCTTTCTTTTTTTTATGCTACATGAATGCGTTTATTGTCACGTCATCCATGCTGTAATGTTAATATGTGTTCATACATATGTTCCTACATCCATCATTGATTGTTGTTGCTGTCAATCGATGTGTTCGAAATTGTTAAGAGCACGTGTCTATGCAACTATGTGTTTATTTAGTACAATGCATGTTGTTGGGTTTCGATGAACAGCTGATGACATCAATTCTCTCATCTGCAGCAACTTACTGTTCGATGGTGAATGCTCTGATACTATTGTATCTTTGCCTATGGATGCCTTTAACCATGAAGTGTTTGACAATAGTGACTATCGGTTGAATTTTAAGAACCATACCAATCTTACAAAGGCTATCACATTGCAGGAGGGTGCTCACATAATGTTCCTAAATAATAAATTGTTTGAACATGGAATATGTAATGGGACAATAGGAGTAATCATCAAGGTAATTGATGATGATAGTGTTGAGGTCGCTTTCCCCACAGCTAACAATATCATAAAGATAAATGTTCAAAGAGAAATCACATACTTCACTATCAATGGAATACCAACATCCAGGAAGCAATTCCCAATTCAGAATACATTTGCACTCACTGTTCACAAGACACAAGGCCTTACACTACCACATTCAACTGTATCCATTGATGAAAATATGTTCGCCACAGTGTGGTGATGAGTAGGACACCTTCGTGGGATTCACTGGATATATTATCTTTTGATTTTGATTGCATAAAGGTAGATAGACATGTTATTGATGAGTACAAAAGGTTAAATCTCTTGA